GGAGGTCCTCTGGCTCGAAGCTCTTGCTCTCTTCCACGCCATGATTCCCTTCTCGACTGCTGTCTTGGTCTCTGTCTTGTCCTCCTCTTGTTCCCTCTGCTCCTCCTCCTTCATCGTTGCCACTCGAATGTCCCTCATCGCCATCATGATGATCGTTTTCGTTTGTACTACTATCGAAATCCCAACCTATTGGCCGGGGTGGAAATTGATCCATGAGCAGTCCATGACGTTTAAAAACATCACGAGTTCGTACGGACAGGAAACGAGCCAGCTCGAAAGTAAATCGTCTCCGAATCCTATTCGTATGAAAAGCCTTCAGGCGAATCAAGGCTGTTTCGTCGGCGAAATTCCCTTTGCAAAAGGCTTCGTATGCCAAGTGGTTGGCGATAGCTACGATAAGTCGATTGGTGCCTTTGCCAAGACCACCATACGTCGCAAAAGCAGCAGTAAGGAGGGTAGATAGATCTAGACGGGTTGAAAGTTCCCGCATAGTGTTTTGCCTTACTTGCAGCTCGATCTTCGAGGGCGGATCCTGGCGTTTGGAGTGACTTGTCGATACTTCGCCTAGCAGATGGATTGACGACTGTGACATCTATAAGGATGGATTTGGTGCAGAGTTCCTCTTCTTTATCTCCTGCGTGTAATCCTGGGGGGATCACTAAATCCATCTTGTTGAGCCCTCTTCCCCTAACAGTGCCTGTAGTAAATGGCATGTGGCATTCGCGTAATGTCTTTAACAGCACGCGAACCATCCTATTGTGCAGGAAGGTTGAGGCGCCGGTCTTCGCGCAGACCAGGGAATGGGGTCGGCTCAACCGTTCCATACACGGTGACAATGCACCTGCGCTGCAAAGTCTGCCTGTATCGTAGTCAGTTCGGTCGTGACTCCCCAGTACACGACCGATCGATTCTCGATAAAGGTCAGGTAGCATCCGTTCATCCATCGAAAGCCCCTGCGTTGTCAGCCATGATAGAACCCCCTTGTCTTTTGCTTCCTCCAAGCGAATCAAGGCTCTCTTCTTTGAGGTTTCCTGGGATCCTGCTTTTTTCAAGCCTGTTACTACCATATGGCGGACTGCTGCATGAAGGGGCTTCGACAGGACGGCTTGAGCTCCGAAGACTTGATAGTACCGGCCAAATTCATTTCGCCCGCATGTCGACGGAGATGGTGGTTCCTCGTCAGGGTTGTCGTCTCCATTTTGTCTCTCGGCTACTACCTTCCCGGCCTCCATGAGATAAACTCCTCGAAGAGTGGGAGTTAAATCGTCAGTGTGTGTGTGTGTGTTTCGTACGATCGACCACGCTTACGGGCTGACCAATGAAAAAGACGTCAGTCTCGTTGCGGTTGAAAGCACAAAATTCTTCTAAAGGCCAAAACCTGGGACCCTATGACCGAGCGTCATAAGGGATTCTACGCTTCTCTCTGGATGAAGGACAATGTGTGTGCTTTAGCATTGACCACGCTAACCGGCTGATCAGTGAAAATACGTCAGTACCAGCGGGTACTGTCAATGTCACAGGAGTTGGGCCAAAATTCGATGAAGGGTGTGTTTGTGTTTGCGAGTGTTCGTGGCGCCAGTCCACACGCCTCCCTCGGTGTGTACTGTGTTTTTTGACGTATCGAATCAGCCGGGGTGGCAAGGAGGAAGTTCACACCGGAGCCTCTTGACTGGTAAGGAGAAGGCCGTGCTGCAGGTGTTTGTTTTTGGTTCAATCGTTTGGGATGGGGACTTTTTTGTGTCGTTTTTGTGTTGGGTGCGTGTACAGGCGACTTGGGGCGGACTTTTTTATCGCTTTTGTCTTGAGAGTGCCGACGTGCCGCCTCGATCGATGGTTCGAAAGCATGCCTGCTGGTCCGGGTCGGGTGTTCGTGAGATCAAGACGACACAGACACACTCATGTCTACAATTATTAGTACTTGTATTGAGGCACGGTCGAATAGAGCCATTTGCACTTTGTTGTGTGTGTGCCCTGGAAGTGGGCCAGTACCAGCGACCGGCGATTTTTAATGATACATGACGCAGAATCATGGACACAACGGTGGACATATTGGAAGGGGGGCATGTTCATTAATTGCTGCCAGTAATAGGAATGAAAGACGCCCCACGCTTGCCTCGATCCGGTGTTGAAATAAGCCACACGCAAGACACACGAGACACAATGAAGACAGGCTCGCTGTGATTCCTGCTTTGGTCTTACCTTCGCTTATGCTTGGGTATGTATTCATATGTATTCAGGTGAAAGACCGCCACAACGGCAACATTCTGCTGGATGCTCGTGGACGCGTCATCCACATCGACTTCGGCTTTATGCTGGCGAACAGCCCGGGCGGAAACTTCAACTGTGAGGAGGCAGCCAAGAGAACAAGATCATTTTTTAATAGTTTGGGAAGACGTAAGATTGTACTGATTTACAAGGAAAAAAACCGGGTTGAATCGCGGCAGCTTGTTCGCTCTGTGCCATGCGCGTAGACAGCAGTGTCCATGCCAACTTGACCACAGATATCGATCGATTACAGGTCTCCAGCCTCCGGGCTCGAAGCACCAGGATAAGGCTCAAAAGCATGTGTGCTTTTCTACGCTTGCGTGTGTTTCCGTTTAACTTTCGCACACTTGGTTGTCTATCTGTGCCATGCCGCCGTATATCTGGATGTCGGACAACGGCCGCGCTGTTTCACCACACCAGTCGAGTCCGCTCCGTTCAAGCTTACGGCCGAGTTCGTCGACCTCATGGGGGGGCCTTCTTCTGCCTGCTTCAAGGGCTTCCGCGAGGTCAGTGACAGAGGGGCGGAGGGGGCGACACCGGCCGCTTATCCTGCGTTTGGCCTCGCGCTTGTGTTTGATTGTTGCTGTGTATTTGTGGAGCATGGGAGATCAAGTCAGCCGTTTAGCTGAGTGCACGCAAGAAGCACGCCTGTGCATAGATGTGGAGAGAGGAGCTTCGCGGATACTGGTGTTGAAAGTCGTTGCCTTCTCCGCCTGGTTTTCGCTTTTTCTTGTCGCGGCCATTCTAATTTTGTTTGGAGCGACTCGTGAGGTACAGAATGAATGAACTCGACTTTTTTTTTTCTATATTGTACGCACAGCAGCACAGGGATTCAAAATCGGGGTGCAATTCCCGGCGTGGTCAATCTTTTTCCATGTCCTTTTTTGCGAGAAATATGTTTGGCCTGAGCTGCCTGAGCTGGTAGAGGGACAGGCTCTCCGCATTCCACCAACACGCACGAACTGCTCGAGTAGCCTGCGTGAGCAGAGTCATCTCACCCGCAAAACCCCTTGGCACAGCATAGAGCATGTATCAGTACTGCTGTGGGACGAGGATACTGTGGGCTTTCGCCCTCCTGATATGGCACGTGCATTACTACTTGAAAAGTATTTTATGCTGGGATGTCATGTGTATGGAAAGAAGTGATATGATGTACGTTGGGGAATTTTATTTTCCCGCACGCACATAAGAGTGCACTACATTTTGCGGTGGTTTGGTGCATGGTGTCTGTACAACTAACTGCCGGTGTTGTTTCTTGCCACATCTATCTGTAACCATCTGCATCTGAAAAATAAATGTCATTCATTACGCATCTCCGCTCTTCGAACGAATGGTATTAATCTACAGGAGCATAACAGCTTCACATACATATTTACACTCCTCTTTCCTTTCGTCTCAAAAACTCGACCCGCACACACTTGGCATCGCCATACAGCCTATGCGTAGCGGCGACCGCAAAGCGGTACGGCGAAGCGCCTTTGTATGACTGACGTATTCTCATTCGCCATCCGGTTGTGTCGCCCGGTCGATGCCCTTTTAACACACAAACACGCACGACGGCGGTTGGCGCGGTCGATGCAAACATTCAAACACCCCGCCCCCGCCGCCCCAGGTGTGCGTCCAGACGTTCATGGAGCTGAGGCGCAAGATGCCCCGGCTGATCCTTCTCCTCGAGACCTCTTCGGTGGGGAACGCGCACCTACCCTGCTTCGGGGGCAGGCCGGAGGCCGTCGTCGCCGAGCTGCGGGCCCGTTTCAAGCCCGAGGCCCACGACCGCGCCGCGATGGCCCACGTGCACCGCCTCATCGACCGATCCATGGGCTGTTGGCGAACTTCTTGGTACGACCTCTACCAGAGCTTCGCCGTCGGCATCGCCAAGTAGAGCTCCACGGTCGGCGTGTTTTTTTTTTTTTAACCCGCACGTTTGTGTTTTACTTCTCTCCCCTCAATCATGTATGTGTGTGTGTGAGTGGTGCTGGGGTGGTCTCTTTTTTGCTGTGCGAGCTGCCCCAACTAAATAGTGGAATCGCAGTCGACACACGTCATACACAACAGTGGTAGTCGGTCAGTCTATGGGTCTCGCTGTGGGGGTGGCAGTTGTTCTTTGTCGTGGCAGTTGTTCTGTTCAAGTATGGTAGTAGCAGGGACGGTGGGGGGGGCACGCTTGAGGGCTTCATAATTTTGATCCGTGTATCGGTATTTTTCTCTTTGTACAACAAGTTATCTTTGTTTACCAAGTTGTCTTTGTATGCTCAAAAAGAGTGATAAATTTGCCTCGATGTTGTGTGGGACCTCTCGTATCAGGCCGGCACATTCTGTCCATCGTGATTGAAATTGTGACAAGAACCGCGTTTTCTTTTTGGAACATCAGCGCATGAGGAGTGAGTGAATGTGCTGCTGGGGTTCAAGGCAGGAAGCCCACGCAGCAAATCGATGTTTTTCAAAAAGGAGGCGTTTACGCCGAGGGAGCGATTCTTTTAGCCGGGATAGAAATCGGTTCAGGCCTTTGGCGAGAGGTTCTGCGAAGCCATCTGCGATGGCCTCGGTTGTGGTTTGTGGTATTAGCTAGGACTCGAGCGTGGTACTGTTTTGGAGGCGTTGTTCGGTTTCTTCGGAGACTGCTCGCAGTTTTGTTCGCAAATTTACTCCCCGGTGCCGAGATGATGCTGTCTGTCGGGTGGTGACATGCATACGCCCCGGGAAGACAGAAAGTGCTACAACCAGCGACCATCCAGTTGCATGTGTTGAGGCCGATGGTCTATGTGCGTTTAGGTATGAAAACAATTTTGTTCTTTTTTTTTTTTGCTGGAGGAAGTTCGCTTCCTCCTCGCTTCGCTTCCTCCTTACCAAAGCTGTGCGTGCTTGTTTTTGCTCTTGTTGTTGTTGGGGACATGGATGGGTTTTTTTTTATCCCGTTGTACTTTTTTGCTCTGTGCCATCGCGTGGGGGAACGAGTCGTCTACGTTTACCGTGCGTACCGTAACAGGGCCTGCTATTTTGTCTCGTGAAGCCCCCTCCCCCCTTGGTATACCAGTGATGCATAATGGGCTGTCTCGTGTGGTTGTTTTGTTCAAGCAAGCTACCACGCTACCCGTTGAGAGGTATCTCTAGGCGTTTGTTTTTGTGTTTGGTATGTATTCAAGCTGTGGAGAGTGGGTGGATCGGTTTCGATGTTTTCAGTTTCGATGTTTTTCTGTACTGGTATCGCGGCGTGTCTACGTCAACCACGCTCAAGCCGCGGCTATGTTTCCAGGAAGATGTATGTCAAAGCGTTTAGCGGCCGAATACCAGTTCCTCCGAGTTTACCTCATTGTGTTTTCAGAGTCCAGTGTTATATGGCAGGGAATAGATGGATATGGGGGGGTAGCTGTCGCGTTTGTGAGCCCCGTCCCCGCCCCCCTTGCAGCATCTAGCGGTCGGTGTTACTTTCCGTTTGTCGATGATGCCGAGGAAGTAGAGTTTGTGGAGGCTGTGTGTACAGACAAGCGCTGGAGAAGAAGAAAATGTTGGAAAATATCAAGGACCTGTTGATACGGAGGAGCAGCAGCATCCTGTAAAAGGCAGTAGGACTGCTGCAAGACCAAGCCTCCTTAACCAAGTCTCGTGGACCAAGTCTTCTAGACCAAGTCTTCTATTACACCCGTCTTTCTTCTAGATCTCCCCATCCTTAGCAGGAAGGAGGAAGGGAGAAACTAGCAGCAGAATATGGCTTCGCAAGAGGCAGCAGTGACCGGTGCCGCGCCGGGAGCGGGCCCGTGCAAGTACAGCCTATGTGCGCTATGCATGTAACACCTGATCACGTTCGTGACAAATTTTGCACGGGGCGGTAGACAACATTCTACACCCCCGCGGGTAGTCGTTTGCGTGCGTCCCGCCTTCTGTTGAGACAACGATCTGAGGCTTGAGCTTTGGTTTTACATCTTGCTTTCGCTAGTTCTCGAGGAGCCCCTAAAAAAACACATCTGAACGAAAGCCTGCCAACGGGGAGGTTGCCGGACCGCCCTCTCGAGAAATGAAATAAATTTGTGAGGAAATAGATCAGGGAGGGGGTACGCAGACCCTATCCCTAACACCAACCCTACCCCAGCTTCGGCTACTGCGCAAAGCGTACACCCATCCACAAACTCGGTCATGTCCTTTTGTGTTCCTCCGCCGGTATACGGGAGTTATTTGCCCAAGTTCCTGTGTATATCGAGGGCTAAATTCATTTTCAGTTTGAACGCTGCCTTTTTTTCCGCCGGCTCAAGGCTTGTTGTCTGTCTTTTGGTTTCCCGAAAATAATAGGGGTGGCTGGCTCCGTCACGCTCTGCTCCATCGACACTTTTGCCTCATCAACGACTTTTCCTTAAGGGTCTTTCGATCATTCGCGCATGAAAAAAAAAAATGTAGTCGGGAACATATGGGGCTTCGGTACAAGCAGATCATCACCTCGTGTCACACGCATCGATCGTGCTGCGGAGGGGGGCAGGAGCCCGCGACCCACATTTATTTCAAGTTCATACATGTACACCGTGCAGACGAGGGAAGAAAAAAAAAACACGATCGACCCTCCCTCCGGCAAGCAACGGTCGGAAAATAACGAAAAACACAAAATCACACGTTTTCGCCCCGGAATAAAGTACGTCCCCTGGGGCGCGTGCAAGCACGATCGTGAGACCGAACAGGACATGGGTGATGCTTGACAGCACAGCACGCCTTTGTTTGATTCATAAAGGGTGGTGGTTCAACACACATGGAGGAAATTCTGCTGGGAGATATACAAGGGGGGGGGAATGCACACACAAAGCGGTAGTCTACTGTACCGAGTTGAGAGCAACGCTCTCTGTGGGAACACGATGCCAGACGTTAACTGAATGCTCTAGACTTAGACTATGGCGGTAAGAAGAAGATTTCACCAAGCTGGAGTAATAAAGGTGCCATGCTGTCCAAACACCCATCACACCCTCTCGCGCGATTGTTGTTCACTCCCTCTCTCTCTTTCTGAACACATGACATCAAGTGGACAGGCAGGCAGACAGACAGACAGGCAGACATAGGCGGTGAACTTCAACGCGTCACCAACACAACACACGGACCCTGAAAACCGCGTCTATAAAATAGTCGAGACCACCGACACAAAAAAAAAGTTTCAGTTGATTTGATCGGAATCGACAAATGAAAAACTGACGCATGGAAAAAGAGTAAAGAAGAATACGAGCTGAACACCATTCCGCGGCGTCAGGCTCGCAAGAGCGGTACAACTAATGTATCCTCGTTCTCTGCCTCCCCCTGTTTCTCCTTCTTTTCCCTCCGGTTCTCGCCACCAATCGATCGAAAAATCTGGGTAGGGCGGGGCGAGACAGAATTAACACAGAAGGGTCCGAAGGGTCCGGATATGTTGCGGAGCAGCCTCCCTAGGTGGATTAGCGGCAACATATCGGGTACTACGCATGGTACCATTCCGCCTGACAAAAAATAGTGGCAGAGAGAGGAAGGTGTTTCCCTTCAAGGTGATGGTATCGTCTCCGACACAGCACCAGGAAAAAAAACACACACACACACACACACACACACGAACTGTTCCGTGTTGATTACCCCGCCACAAGACTGACATCTTTTCATTGGTCAGCCGGTTAGAGCGGTCGTTCCTAAATAAGAAAACAGACATACAAATACCCAGCTACAAGACTGCCATCATTTCATTGGTCAGCCGGTCACCGCGGTCGATGCTAATAACAACAACAAAAGCACACGCGCACTCGCTCCTTCCCTTCTTCTCCATCTGGGAGCAAGCAGGACACAGGAAACGCTTCGAGCTTCGTTCTTCCAATATCCAAGCTTGTCGGGACAGTTTCCACTGTACCCCTTGACAGAACGAAAGAGAGAGAGAGTGGACTACGGTAGCTCTGGCTCCTTCACCAAGAGGTTAGCCTCCTCGAGCGCAGTAGTTAAGCCGTCGAAGGAACTAGTGTAATGTAATCTAGTCTCCGATGGTGGAGAAGGAGCGAACTTGCGTGCTCATGAGGTTGTAGTAAGCGCCCTCGCGTTCGAGCAGCTCATCGTGCTTCCCTTCCTCGATAACCTGCTTCCCCGAAAAAACATATCCGGCCGCGTCGACAGCAGTGGGAAGAGTCGGTGATAGGGGGCGGGGGCGAGGGGTCCGTTGTTGTTTCCCTTTTTCTTTGATTGGTTCATTGACCATGCATCACTTCCGAAAAGCAACTGCGTTCTCGTCAATACTATCTTTTGGACACAAGGACATAGTTCAGGACGGGGTTGAACAGAGCGAAGTTGGGGGGCGGGTGCGGGAGTACAACTGGTGCGTCATCACCAGGCATGAGAGTCACCTTCATGAATACGATGGAACCCCGCTAAGAATAGGCCCCAGATATGGCGGGTCTGAGGAGGAACGACCCGCAAAAGTGGGACTGGATTCGTACATCGCACGGATTTGTATGAAGCAGGTGGCCCTCTCCTCAAAACAAGCGTTTTCATGAAAAAAAAAAAACACCTGAGCGAAGGGGTGTCATGATGAATCTTTAGGCTTCCGCGTTTTCATCGACATGCTTGCCGGATTGGACAATCGACTCACGTCGTCTAGCGGGGGGGGAGTACTCATGTCAAAGGATGTCGTAGTCGTGAAGACCATAGACCTCGCATTCCTACAATGCCGGGACGAAGCGATATGTCAGGTGATCGCCGGCCCAGGTTGCGTTTCATAACAATGAACAATAAGCTGGTTCTCATCCTTGCCTCTGCTGTGCCAAAACAGATATGCCATGGGCCTTGGTCAGGCATCCCGGATAACCGAAGGACGGCCCGGGGGGGATTAGGGCCGAGGTCGGGGGGGTTGGGATGTCACAGCAATACTCTTGGCTTTTCACCGTACCTTGCCCTGACTCAAGACGCAGATCTTGTCCGCGTTGACCACCGTCGACAGCCGATGCGCTATGACCAGCACCGTCCGGCCTTTGGTGAGGCGAGACAGCGCCTCCTGAACGAGGGCTTCGCTGTGCGCGTCCAACGCGCTCGTGGCCTGACGTGGAGAAACGAGGCACCGGGTACCGACACGAGGACAGTCACCTTGCTGTTCTTGGTTGTTACCATGGGGTTTACTGTTGTGGGTAATTCGGGGTCGGAAACGAGGCGATATTTGCGTCGATGCCGAGTGGAGCCTATTGCTCTACTACATGATGCCTCGTGCATGCATCGCGCTCTGTCTTTCTCC